TATCGTACTTTACTGGGATTTAGTGCTTTACTTTGATACAAAATCAGTACGGCTATCAGTTTCCAGTGAACGATTCCGTATACTTTGTACATAGCTCGTTAATGTTTGACTCCTTCGTCGAAGTGTCAGTTGCCACCCTTATTTCAGCCACTTCACTGGTTTCATGTGTTTGGAATGAACCGTGCTTTATGACCATTTTGTGGCCCCTTAAGTCGCCTGTTGCTTTTACTTCCCTTAGAAAATTTGTTCTTAATATCGGACATGATAGGCTTGTGGTTAGTTGCTTACTTATGCGTGTTACTCCTCGTGAAGGAGTATAGGCTACCCACCAGCATTCCTCATCCAACCCTGTCCTGAGCAATCCTTTCCACCCTTTTCCCTTGTTATTCATTCATTTCATATCTGATTCCATTTCCCAACGTAATGTGTTCTTTCGCCTTCCTCTTCTCCGCTCCCCTTCAGCATTCCAGGTGGTGATCTGAAGCTATATCCGCTCCTCTCCTAGTTCTCACATCTTCCATTTTTCTTCCGAACTTTTTATTGATGCAAATATGATCTAGCTGGTTCTCTGTGGTGTGGTCCGGTGCATACGTTTGTGTGGGAATACTGTGCCGCTTATGACCAATTTGTTGAATGCACATCGATTTGCAAACCTTACCCCATTTTGGTTTCTCTCTCCCAGTCCATGTAGTCCCATGATATCTTCATATCCGGTGTTGTCTATTCTGACTTTGGCGTTTAGATCTCCCATCAGAATTGTGAGGTCCTTTCTCGGGCACTTCGTTATGCTTGATTGCAGCCTATCGCAGAAATGATCTATATTGTCGTGATTGCTATAATTGGATAACATTCATTGTAATTCCCCCCTTCTTTGTTTTGAATGGCGCTTTGATGATTCTGGATCCGTGAGATTCCCATCCTACAAGTGGATTTTGTGCTACTTTGGACAGCATTAGAGCAACTCCCTGAGTGTGTGAAGTATTTTCCTTTTCGTGACTGGAGTATAACAACATCTCTCATGTATCCAGTCTTTGTTGTCCAGTTTGGGTCCGATGTGTTTCTCCGATTCCCAGTACTTCCAATTTGTATCGTCTCATTTCCGTTGCCATTTGACTGATCATTCCGGCCTCACACATTGTCCGGACGTTCATTTACCTATGAAAATTGATGTTCTGGTTGTTAGTAAGGACATGGTCCTCGTGACTTCTGAGGGAACTCGGCCTTCACCATGATGGTTCATAGTTTTTCTAAATGAAGACCTTCTAACTCCCAGAGTAGAGTTTAAATGGTTTGAGTTATTTTGCTGGTCAGCGTTTTTTAGCGAGCTAGTTTTCTACGGGATGGGGTCGCTAACCCCATGCGCAACCCCCCTTCTTTACTCGAATTGGGACCGGCAGTAGCCCTGGATGAGCTACAGGTGGAGTTAGTACGAACTGGAAATTTATCACAGCACCACCCAGTTTTACGATACTGTTAGACACACAAAACAACTAACATGTGTTCTCCTATAGTAATAACTGCTAGAGTACATGGTTGAGTCTCTTACACTGCTCTTTGCCTATTAATGATCCTGCCGCCCCAGTATCGATCAGATACACTAAATCTTGTTCATTTATGTTCGCCCCTGTGTATACCTCTCCTCTTCCTACTAGTGTAACAACCCCTAGATTCCTACGGTAGAAAGATCACCCATTTTAACATCTAAAAGTTTTGTCTTCGGCTTGATGAACGGTTTATCTTCCAATATCCTTTCCTTCCACAAGCGTAACATTTAACATTACTTTTATGTCTCATTCATATTACAGCAATCTCATGCTGCAGCTCCTCAATGTATTTATCTATTACCTTCGCCACCGACCGGAGCTACTGTTCGTGTTTTCACCTATCGGCTCACCTTCGCCACTCATTGATACCCACAGGTTCTGTGTCGACTACTAGCTTTAGCAGCTGGGAAACCGTAACAGGCACGCTCTCGATAAACTGCGACGCCAACAGCTGTGCCTCCAGCTCCTCGTTCAGATTCGGCGGCGCACGGTGCAGCAAACTGGTGAGCTCCACAACCAGAACCAGTGGGTTAGCATCGATTGTCAACTTCACCAGCCGGAACAACCGTAGTGACCCTCCCTTGTACACTAGGCTGTACAACTGTGCTATGAAACTCTCCGTGACTGCCTTTCATGTCATCTCCCCGCTAACACCGCCCAATTTGTCATATTCAGCCTTTATCTTTCTGCTTAGCAGCGTCCCCAGCACCACCATCTCTGCCTTAAGTTCCTTCACTCCCAACGAGCGCCGCCACGGCCTCAAGCTCCTTCAGGAATCTCAGTACAACTCAGTCCTCAAACTTCTCCGCCTATGGCATCTTCATCATTTGTGTTGGCAGCAAAACCAAATATGGTGAAGGAGAACTATGATAATTAGGAGTATTTGAATTATAGTACTAACTAAGAATCCCAGAAATAACTCAATTGCATCAAGAAGTACCAGACAAGTACTAACGAATGTACTGTATTTAGAATTCGAAATCAAACAGTCAACAAGTACAAAGGAATCATTGGCTCATGCAAGCACCATAAGAACACAGGTGAGAAAGATCGGTTATGTTTATCACAAAATCACAGAGTTACTTGGCAAAGTAAAAAGTCAAACTATAATACTTCATTTGCACAATGTTCATTAATTGTTTCAGACTTCACTGTCCCTGCATTTCCATACCAATGGCTTGCTGTTCCTGTCCTTCCCTCCTCGACCTTCTCAACCTTCTGCTGCCAAACATTAGGTTCCTGACTAGCGTCATGTGCTACTTGTGCAGACATAAGTTACACACACTACACAACAGTTGTTCTGTAGTGATCGGGAAAGTTTTATTTTCTCTGGAATGTCTGTCTGCGTGGACGGCCTCGCCAGTATAGCTAGCAGAGTGATGAGGATATTACATGTGTACCTACGAATCTTAAGGATACAATTAATAGTAGAGCGTCACCACGGAACCAATGGGTTGATGATAAATTTAAGGGTGTCATTTTATAAGCAACATTATCTAGTCTCTAGATAAAACGTCCAAAGTCGCTTTAAATAAGAAAGTCCCTTGTAGCATCGTATTCCTGCTCTCAGAAAATCACTAGGTGGATGTACAAAATCATCGGAAGCACAATGGAAAAGCTAGAAAATGAACCAGACTGTATAATACTTTTTCACAAACAATGCTGATCTACAGGTAAACTTAGATACTAGTGGCCACCACTTACTCGTCTATTTTTTATAAAGTGTCAGTTACATCTATTTGTACCAGTTGGTGGTACCAGGGTCAACAAGATTCTATTAATATTATCGAAGCAAATCGCCCCCTTCTCATCAGTTTAGTTCTTTAAGCAGCTAATAAAGCTAAGATCCTCACAAACGACAAGCAGTCATTAATTATGGTTATGTGGTTTTATCACCACTGCTTGTGAATATTCCACTACCGCCTGGAAACAACAATAGCTGAATAATCCGGGAATACAAGCAAAAGATTATCCAACGTTTATACAGTGTCAGAAACAACAAAAAGACATAGCTAGAACAAAAATGAGTTCAAAATCGTATGTTGATTGAAACAAATCAAGTTAATTCGTGATTATGCCTTTCGCCACGTAATATGCTTCACGGATTCATAACAGATTACTGGTGTTTCAAAACTCGCGCCTCGAACTTTTAGAAACTTTGGAACCTGTTTAAATATTTCATTCACTAATGATGAACAAATTAAAGGCACATTAGAACCGATTTCAAATATTACATGTTCATGATGACATGTTGTAAATCCTCACTTGCGCATTATTAGTTGCTGTCGTTTATTTTCATTATTAAATATGGGTGTATCACGTTGTAAGTTCATTGAACCGTTGAGATCTTAGATCTGACACAGTTTAGTATTATGATGCTACGCTAGTCCAATTAGTATTCAAACTCGAAGTTAATTGAAACACATAAATTTCTTAGTGCCAGACAGCTATTGAAGCCGTTTTTCAGTTTTACATGTAAAACTGAATGACCTATGTATGCATACGCGTATCACATTAAATCTTAAAGACGCGTCTATAAGATCAAATAACAAGTTTGAAGCTGGTTTGCTCACGACTAGAAATAAAACTGGTCCATATTTTTTAATCTGCGGTATCACAGACTGAATGCAAAAGCTCCCATTCTAAACGACTCACGAAGTGCTAGTGACTCCATGAAATGGTTTACTACTTATGTATGTTTTGATCTGGTCAAAATGCATCTGTTAATATGGTTACGCAAATAGTAGTTATTTCGCGCAAAGAATTCTTAATCTGAGAACGTCTGTAGATATTTACGATGTACATTTCAGGTATAAAGAGTAGAATGTTAATGAAAGCCTACACGCATATAGCCATGGCTATAAAGAAACGGTTATTTGAGAAATTAACTCTGTTATGAAATAGTACTATTCACGCAATTTTTTATGTGACAAAACTTGCACAGGTTTTTACGAAACTGGTTCTACTGTTCTTTTGTATAATATTCAGAAGTATGATTTGAGGGTGGTGTCAGAGACCTGTGTTTGTTCTGTACCAGCAAACTTCATTCTAATCTCTTGAACAATTGTTCAGTAACTTAAGCCCTTTGAAGGTTTAGGTACCAACTCTCTCAGCAGTAGATCCTGAAAGTTGATTACTTGACGGAAAACTTATTTTGCCCTGGGGATGCTGTTGTCTCTTTTCATTTGAATCCCCCTGCTATGTCCACTGAATCATCCTGACCTAGTTGACAGACTACATTTCAGGTCAAAGATCTTTTCTTGGAATCTTGCTCGGTGTATTAGAGTAACAAGTGACAGTCATGATGTTGCGACTGATAAAGCTTGAATTTTCCAACCAATTAAGGAAAAGCATTTTCATATCCCCTATAAATTACTTAACGTTACACCTCGTTTTCTGTCCAATCATTCTTATCATGAATCTCAACCTGTTTTGTTTTTACTGTTAGGACTTCCAATGAGTTCAGACAACGTTGTTACTTCTTCAATACTCCCAGATTCATATTCACTAGCTCGAAGACACTTACAGTTGAGTCGAGCAAAGCTGAAAGCTACTAGTCGAGTGTCTGCGTTGCTGGCGGGTTTCGCTATGGTTGCAATCATTGAATTGCAGGTTACTTTAACAGTGACTGTAAATAAGTGGTTTAGGTTGCTGTTGGCGAAAGTAAACCACCTGAAGGATTATTGTTTGCTTTCACGATTCTTTCATGTCTTCTGGTTGTCGTGCATATTATGGCTGTAATGATAAGTACTTGCATTTTGCCACATATTGACTCATACACGGTCCCTCAAGACTGTTATTTGATTGAGGAAGCACCACACAACAGATTAAGAACGTAAGATATCTGTTTTTACAGTTATCCATTTTCCCCTTATAGATTTGTTGAAGTTGCATGGATTTGCAGTACTGTGGTTGGCATCATTTTATTTTTAGCTGTGGTAACCTTAGCATTTTGGGTTAAATTTTGGTCTGTGAGTAGCTTGTCTGCCATAGCCGCAACAATTGTTTTGATGCCAGCCATGCTCATTTTCGTCATTTTCGCTATATTATTTTATCGTGCACTCACTACCTACAAAGTGGAACGAGCTACAGAAATGATACGCAATATTGATATGCGCATGTCCTTTCTTAGAAGTGGAGTTCAGAAGATATATGACGAAGATAACAGGAAACAACATGTTTGACATTGAATACTTTTTGGACCTTTTATAATCTATTCTTACATACAGTACCCTCTTGTGTTCCTAATTAAATATGAATTAAATAATATAAATTGAGTGTCTTACTGGATTTGTTTGTCAGATTATTAATTTTTACCTAAATTGTTCACAGTATTTAATATTGCGGGTTCATTTACCTTTCTAGTATTTAAGTGGTTATGTAGGAGTTTTCTACATTTTTTCTGTTATATATTTAACGGCAGATATTATGTTTGGGTCTCATTACTTGATTTCTGTACTATGATCTTAGGAATAAAGCATACGATACAGCATCGACATGTGGGTTGGGAAATTATTTAAGTTCTCAGATAAATAAATATTAAAATGTATGTTGATAATCATACTAATCAGTCTTCAGCGACTATCTCCTTGCATCTTGGGAATTTTGAATTAAAGGCTCATACAGCCCAATTAGATTGTAAAACTTATTCAGTCAATGTTGTTTTAATTTTGATACCATAAGTCCCTATCGTTTTATATACTTTTCTTAAAAGTATTTCAGTGATTGGGTCCGGGTGTTTAGATCATGTTCCAACAGCTGAAGAACTGGTTTCTCCATAAATACACTGACAAATCATTATCGAACTGGAGAGGGAAAAGTTCTCACACACACTTAAATAAGCACACTTTCATTGATTATTCAGAGAAAGTTCCCTAATAATTGAATTTCGATTTACGAAATATGTCCGCATGAGTCTACCTCGTCCATCATAAGATTGGTGTCGGTTATTATGGTCGTCCTCCTTGGGTTTAGCCAAACAGATTAGTGATGGGTACAACTGAGATGCGATTAGTAAACACTTATTAGTTCATTCGAATGAGATTTTAATGTATTTTGAAGTATAGTTTTCTCATTTCGGTGTGAATATTTACAACCTAATACAATTACGTCTGTATGTTTTCTTTTCAAAAGCAGTTATTTATAATCATTCACAAAACTTGGACTGAAATTGATGGACAAGTAAGCGGTCTAAAAATGTGCACTAATTCCACTGATCAGTTAGTCGTAAGCAATATACAATCTGACATGTGGATTAACCTAGGTTACCACGCCTTACTAGGATAAGGTCATGAAGATGATTATCAAAGTAGCCTCATCAGTGGCAGTAAAAAACGTTATTAACAGTTTTATTCGGGAAGAAATAGGGAATTCTCGGAATAAAGAAATTCTAAGGCTTTTTTAAAACTCGAGATCCAGGAAGAAGTAGTGTCTGCATCTACAACATTATAACTTCCCTATGGACCGAGTCACTCAACGTCTCCGGCTACTGATCATGGTTTACACCTACTAACATGGTTCAAATTAGCGGTAAGTGACTTCCCGGACTCACGATACGTCTCGGTTTAGTTTCTCCTAGTTTGATTCCAACCTACGAGTGGTGGCTTGGTGGTTTTAAGACCCTCGATTCTCGGCTACTAAATCCTAGGTTTGAACCCCGCCCCTTCTACTTCTATTTGGGCAACTGGGTAATATCATCAGCTCTTACACTTAGTGTGGCTCATACCAAAAACCAGTTTAATGAGTTAATTAAAAACGATGACAAATATCGGGCGTCGAAACAGGTAATGGTTGCAGATATGCAATATATATCTCAACCATCTCAGTCTATAAAGATTTTTACTTTATTTTCAACACATAGATATTGGTACAAGGAGGCACCAAATACATATGCGCCACACATATCTCATTTGATAAGTGTGAGGGCTGTGATACTGCCCGGGTGCCCAAACCGAAGCAGGTGGTTTTCTTAGGGGGCCACACCCCTCTACATATTGATCAACTAACTTGCCACCTTTGTTTGGTGCCGTATTCCTAACAGTATCACTCACTCTGTCGGTCCATGATAGACGAGGAATACTTCGAAGACATATTGCACAACCCGCGTCCTGCGCGCACCTACTTCCATGGACTATGTTTCATATCTACGGAACAGTACAAAGCGAATCGCTTCGTACTATACTTGTCATTTGGTTAGCAGATGGATATCTCGTTCACAGCACAAATGACGCAATTCGGAGGAAGCCAGTAGGACTTTGTGAATGCGTGGTGAGACTCTGTTGGACGCCAGGTTATCAGGCTTGGCGAGACATGGTATAAGTGGAGTGGTCAACATACTTAACTTCCTATGATCGACGTAGGCGACAATCCGAATTCATCCTGATGACATTTTGCATTTGGAGGGCGAGAAGCACATACCGAACATGTTCACATATTTTCTCAAGCTGATCAAAATACTGGATTATGTCACCGTCTTAACCGAATAGGACTATATCGTCTGTCTACTTTAAGTTGATGGGTATTGGTAAATCAGTCATTGAGAAGGTATAAGAAAGCGACAGAATCTCGATCACTGTCATCCCTAGAGACCTATGGAGTTAGCCTGTTAGGTTATGCTGCTTTCTTTTGTTTCAAGTTAGTTATAGCGTCCTTAACCTTAATAAGATTTGGGACCTAGGTGGAGTTTCGTTCTTTGAGCTGTATGGTCGAGGTCGACGGGACAAGTTGTGAGTCATATGGAAAATTCGAACACTTCACTTCTACTTAAAGTTTGTGCTGATTATGTTGTTTAGAAGAATAATGAAAGCTCCGCGACCAAACCATCCAGCTCAGAAAACTAAACTTCACCTAAATCATCCATCTGAGCTACAAGTCTTTTTCACTATCTTAAGTTGGTGATTTGTGTCGATTTCCCATTCGGGTTGCTTGGAGATATTGTAACTGGACCACTAACATTTGGGCTTTTGATGCCTGTCTTTTTTGATAAATCTGAAGAGTTGTCTGGTGTTATGTTTCATTCCCTTTCTCATCTTTTCTACATTCATCACCCACAATTCACGCGCAGATTTTATATCAGTTTGCGTGTAAGTCGTCTTCGCTAGTTATCTCATTCGGAGATTTAAATATACTTTTGACTTCTGAGTTGAGCTTTAAGATTATTTCTTGAAGTTTTGTCATTCAGCATTACATGAGAACGCGTTTTCGCAATACAGCTTGATCATGTGTAACAGAAATGTACTGCAGAACGGGTACCAGCATTCCACTAAATCTTAAGCAATAAATGATGATAATATGATCTACTTGCATCCGTCCAGTTAGTTTCAAAGGTCCCCATGTCACATGATCATTGGTATTTTGGCTTATTTCACAATTATTCATTTAAATAAACACATAAATGGGAAGGCTCATTGCAATGTGCTTTGAAAGTTTGTTAAAACCATTAGTTTTTGTTTGATAGTTGTGGCTTATTACCACCATTATGATTATATTTTATTTACTTTCTCAAATAATTAGTTTCTTATTGTTACTAGAAAATTTCACACAGAGTAAATGTTGTTTCTTTGTAAATCAGGTTTATTTTTTCGATTATGGACAGTTTGATGCGTAGTAAATAATTAAACCTGAATTTAATAGTACAGTTAAGTTTCACTGATCGTCATTTTCCTCTTCATTTGTTTTTAGGGCACTTAAGCTTTTTTAGTAACAATGTCCTCTGCCTTTACTACAAAGGATTTGAATCATTTTGATTATGTTATTATTGGAGGTGGGATTGCTGGTGTTGTGTGTGCTGAAACATTATGCGAACTCTTAAATCCAAGCAGGTTTTCTGGGGCTCTCCAGTCATCGTCAGATCGTTTAAACTATGCATCTAAACGTGTAGCGTTGATATCTGCTTCTGAGACCGTGAAAACAACAGTCAATCTACGTCGAATAAGCAATATGATCGAAACTTTTGATATTGAGGAGAAATCTGGTAGTTCATGGTCCGAAACATGGCCCGACACATTAACCGTAATCTGTGATACAATGATAAAACTAGAGTGAGTTTTATTTACTTGATACTTTATACCAGTCGCTGGTATTAGTTATGTCAGTCGTTAAACCATTTTCTAAAGGAAAAGTGTCCAAAAGTACCTTTGATACTGGACCGAGGTTTTGATATACCTTTTATTTGTTAATTAAAATATTTTGTTATTTTTTAGTCATTAAATGACTATATTTTTCTTTTTTTTAGAATAGTGTACCTATTGGTTAAGTGAATAGCAAGCAGTGCTAGAATACAGTATATAAATAAACAAAGAGTTATCATAAAACCAGGACAATGTGCACTTGCTGTAGTGTCATCAACGGAATAAATCCGAATGTCTTATGCAACTTAATCCAATATTTCTTAACTCAATTGATTAGCATTGTAACTTGTTTCGAATATGTGTCGCCCTCTGTTTTGCACTCATCATAGCCATGATTAGTATTTGTTAAGGGTGTGCATTACACATTGTTGGGACATAAGATTACAGGAATATCAAATAATGTACCACCATTAATAGTAAATTTTCATCCAACCTCAATCTTATCCTGTCCATGCTATCATCAAGCTAAATAACACTATGGACGTTGGTAACCAAACACAAACTTGATAGTTATTGTACATCATTTTGACTGTCATATTGTGACAGTACCTATTTTTGATGAATAACATTATTGCCTCACTGATCAAATCGAATTCTTGACTGTAGACGCTTCTTTAATTACATGTCGTGACTACCCAATCGACATTTATTGATCGAAACACTTGTTCCTTAAAATCCTACCATATCAAGAAGGCTAATTGAGAACGTATATTTAAAAAAACTTGCAGTTGACTACAACGAAGAATGGCTACTTGGAACTACACTTATTTATGACTGACTAACTAACCAATTCAGGGATATTGGGTTTAGATCTTAAGGGTTGATCGGTCAGAGATGAATATGAGGATCACTGGGACATAACTTAAGCACTTGTGTCTTAGGTTAGTTCAAAACACTTTCATTATTCACTTATGTTCGTTACAGCACAAATAGTATAGCGTATGTGTTTGCGCTAAGTGCTTTACACGGATGATAGATTTATAGAAATTGTAGATGTCCGTCTAACATAGGGATTCTTTTAATGTCGCGTTAACACGTTTTTGAGTATACTTACG